GCAGTCTCAAATTTTTTATAATAGCCCTTTTCGTCATAATCAATCAATTTCTTTGCAGATTTTCGTTTGGGCCGCCTTTTGCACGTGCATCTGTTTATATGGGTTGGTTTGATTGTTAATAAAGCCTCCCTTAATATAAAATTTGAATCAATCCATGTTGCCGTGACTTCAATATATCCTATATTTGTTCTTGAACTCCACAAATCTGTGATCAAATTAATAGATTTACCATCTACATTCATCATACCAAATAATTGGTCATGACTCCAATCGTAAGCTTGATTAATCATTTTTTTTGTTGTTATTTCGCAGGGAATCCGAAATCCAGGTTCCAGATCATTTAGAAATCGATGAAAAGATTGACAACGCAAAATATTTAAAGGTTGACAATCTTCAATGATAAACTCAACCAAATCTTGTGCCAGTCTTTCTTGTTAATGTTTAGTAATAATATGCATGGCTTTAACAATTGGACCATCCATATTCATTCTATCAGGATGCTCTTTATTGATTCGATGCTTGGACCAGAGGTGGCCAAGCATGTTTCCAGTTGAAGAGTTATGTACATATTTGATTGTAATGTTCTTTTCTTTACATAATTGACAGACATCAAAAAAACCTTCTTTTATCTTTTCAGTCTTAAAATAGTCCCATGCAATACTATAATTATCCCGCTTTTTTTTTTTTTTTTTTTTCATCTTTAGAAGGTTCATCATTTATAGGCGGTTCATTATTCGTAGACGATTCATCATTCATAGACGATTCATCATTCATAGGCGATTCATTATTCGTAGGTGATTCATCATTCGTAGGCAATTCATAATTTATAGATGGTTCATCATTCCTAAATAAGTCTCCATATACTGAAGAATAAGCATTGTCTTCATCTATATAATAATCGGACATAGTAAAGTCTTTATTTTGTCTTTCTTGATTTAAGCTGGCCTTTTAAAATATGATTTATAATTATTTCTGATAGTAAATATCATCATTTTGATTAAAAAAAATCATACTTTTTTGTTCTTATATACTTGTCGGTTGTTTTTTTTTTTTTGTCGGTGATGTTAATAGTGATTAACAGCTGGCGGACTACAGCTAATAGACTATAACTGATAGGCTACAGCAGGTAAACTATGGACATAAACTACAACTAATAGATAATTAGAAGAAACTGCACTGAACTAATAGACAACTGCTAGTAGAAATAACGACTAGAGCAGAGTTTTTAAGACAAAAACAATTTTTATTTTGCCGTGTTCTAACAAAGAAAAAAATAGTGTAACAATTAACCTTTTAAATACTAATCAGGAGTCGAATCTTCTCAATGATAGTTGTAACAAGTTACGGCTTAACCTGTAACTTCATTGAGACGATTTGCCTACCCTGCATTACTAATCAGGAATATGAGCTTGAATATGTATGCCTCATATAGAACTTTTTTCATACATTAATCACAGTGCATACACTTTTAGCTTTTTATTACGAACTATTATTATAACTGAATATCCAGGTCAATCGAATTTTTTTTATAACTAAATATCCGAATATTTATTTATATCCGTTTATTAACTGGATACCTGTCTATTATATTAAAAACCGGTTTTACAAAACTATGACCTGATTGGAAAATTTTCGGTTCGGGTAATAGGTTATAT